GGTTTTAACACATCATAATAGAAGGAATACATGTGAATTTTAGAATAGTCTAAAATAGACATACCCATATAGATAGGTTTGTCTTTTTCAACAATTACAAGGTCTTCATTTATGATATGTCTGTGTTTGAATAGCGGTTTATTTACCAGTTTTTGGAAGCGTTCAGGCGTATTGACAATTTCAATATCACCATGCTTTCTTACATTCTCCATGGTCTTGCCGTATACGCTATTATTCATTAATTTAAACAAATCTTTTTCAAAGTCATTGTTGGCATTCTTTCTTTTTTCAGTGTTGAATTCAATGAATGGTTTTAAGAAGTGTGCTTGATTGAAACTTATTGCTCTATGGACTTTTTTTGAGACGTAATCCGTGTTGCAGATAGAATTTCAATGCTGATATGTGTAGAACATACTTATTTTTATCCATTACATTTAAAACTAACTTATTGGTTTTTTTCATCACTGGCATCTTTTCCATAATAATATGTTTGTATATCATTCTGGACTTTTGAAAGCATATTCTCATTGATACTCATGATTTCAGGTGCTAATGGATAGTCTTTATGTAAATCATGTAGTTCTTTTGGATAATCTAAATCAACTTCTAATATGTATCCTACGTTCATCATCATCACTATATTTCATTACTCTCTTTTCATCCATTCTACCGTAATACCATTTAAAAACACCATATGGCAGTTTCTTACACATTGCTAATCCGTAAAGGTTATTAGCATCTAAATAACTTATGTATGATGAAGGTTTAGATTTATCATAATCTTCTTTCATGTATTTATTGTTTGCTTCTACTTTCTTAAAGGAGCACTGTGCCATTCCTCCTCTTAATCCATGTTCAATCATCTCATACATATATTTTATGTGTATTTGTTGTAGTCTAACTCCTGTCAGTGATAAAAAGGCATTCCAAGAATAGTTATGTAAAGTGATATAATATGCTGGGTCTAATCCATAATAGTTCAAACACATATCCCTAAAATGTTCAAAAACATCAGTCAGTAAATATACATCAGTCATCAAATACAAATCATGATATTCACCAATGTTTTTAATGTTAAAATGCTTCCATACAATATTTGCTCTGGTGTAGTCTTTGTCAGTTATGTTTTCTTCATATAATTTGCTATAAACACGGTCTTTCTTTGGTAGTTTTTGTTTCATCGAATTTCTCCCATGAGTTCATGTAGTCATAGGGATATACACCCTTATCAGTCAGCAAATTCAAATCAGTTTTAGAATTGATATATGGGTTGGTGCTTGTATATCTGAAACGAGTTTCCCAATCTTTAATCGTTTGATTTCCTTCATATTTGTTTTATCTAAGTAACTTATCCAATGACGCAGTTAAGAAAGCGAAGCTGTCTTTAAACTGACAAGCACCAAATGAAAAGGTTATGAACTTTTCACTGTTTTGTGCTATTACATCTATTCTTTTGTTTTGGTTTAGTTCTATGTTTAGTTCATTTGCTTTTGCTATGATTAAGTGAGCGTCATAATGTTTAAGCTTATGAAAAAAAAAAAATAGTGATTTTAAAATACCTAAATGAATAATCCAAATTACATTTTACATGCGCTGCGCCTCTGTATTTGCCTGTGAAATGGCAGTGGTCGCGAATTCAGGTTCAAATTTCTTACCGCACATGGAGCGATGAGACGATAATTTAAACTCTAATTTTTGTTCGTTCGTTAATTCATCCATCGGTTTATTAAATTGCATTTTTTCAAATATATCTTTCTTAATTTCAGTCAGTTTTTCTACAAACTGTTTCATACAGTCCTCACCTCTGTATAAATACGGTTGGCATGCATTATCAATCCTGCTTACTACATTTAGCATATAACCACATGGTTTATGTTCTTGATATGTGCCTTTTATACCATGTTTAGCGTTAGTCGTTAGACATTCAAAATCACCATAGATTGCAAAAGGACAAGGCAATTTAGTATTATGCTGCTCAAATTCTATATAAGTGTCTTTATCAGGCATCTTTGTTTGTTGTCCTTTTGATGTCATACATCCGTTTTCAAGATGTTTCTTATATTTAATATACCTTTTCTGATTGAAAGGGATTTAAACAATGGTGGCAGTAAAACTTTATATTTGTGTTGCTACTGCTTTGACAGTTTAATAATCTACTTCTATTTTTAACTAATACATAGTGATAATTATTATCTGTATCATAGAATTTTAGTAAATCAATTTCGCATTTAGCATGTCTATTTTTAGTGCCTCTATGCAATATAATCGTATTATCATTTAAGCAGTCATCGGGTTCAAACACATTTATTGAAACTGATTTGTTGTTCTCTTCAAATCTGTCAATGTCCCTATTGCCAGTTGGAAAATGTACACCATCCCAGTTCAAAATATAATCTTTCAGTTTATTATAGTGGAACATTTCCTCTGGGTGAGGTTTGCTTATTTTGTCATAGACTTTGGATTGAATACAATATGAAGCATGTTTGGTCGTTATTTTTAATGTTGATACATGCCTTTTTAGGTTAATCCATTCTGGTAATTCTATGCATCTCCCTGCTCTTGTTGGGTCATATTTGTCATAGTGAATAGTTATTGATACAATCCTTTTAAATCTCAAATTAGATGTTGAACCTTCTAAATGTTGTATTTGTAATCGGATTTGAATAACAGTACCTTCTAATGCTTGTGTCAGTTCATCCTCATTACTAATATTGAAGCGGGTTGATGGTAGGGCATATACAAGTTCCTGACTTCCTAATTCATTTCCACCATCATCATATTCAGGTTGTCAAACATTCCTTCCGTTCTTATGTTAAGTTTCATGCTTCTATTAGTTCTTAGCAAATCTGATAGTCTTTGTTTTTGGTGCGCAATCATTTCTAATCCCCTTTCTCCTTGAAAGTGTTTATGTTCTAAAACTATTGAAATAGCGTATCTTGTAAATGCTGATTGAATATCTCTGACCCTAAATATATTTCTTATGGCGTGTTTGGTTATTAATTGCCTAACCCTTTCTCTATTTACACCATGTGTTGCCTTTTTCATAGCATAACTTCTGTATTCATTAGTTTTCTTTACTGACAATAATATAGTTGTTAAAACATTTGATATGGGTTTGTCTTTGTTGTATCTGAATTTCTTATCATCTATCATTATTGACTTTAATGTGTTTCTTCCTTTTTGGGGTATTTCTGCTTTATTAGTGTTCAATAGATAGTCTATCATCGTTTTCATCATATAATAGTATATAGTTTATTTAGTTAATCTATCTTTACATAGATTTTAAAGAACTCTATTATTTTAATCTTTGAATATATACTTAAATAGTATTTATTTAAGTATATTAGTAGGATGGATTGTATGAAGGATTTACCTGTTGATGTGTTGAGTAGAATTGTTTAATTATAAAATTGGAGAACCTGAATATGTGAAAATAAAGCATAGTGAAGCTTAGAAGAGAATACAAAACACATATTAAATATCAAGACTTGGTCCGAAAATAGACAGAAAGATAAGACAAAGAAACAACATGTATATAATTTAATAATGTATTATGAGAGAGGGAGTGCAGGGAGTGCCATTTAGTTTGAAGAGTATAGGAAACATCATAACAGAAGAAAAATACTAACTACTATCTTTGATTTATGAAGAAGTAGAAGAAGATACTTTAAATTTTAGAGTTAAACTTGATATTGATGTCCAAATAGTAGAAAAACTCCCAGATAAAGAATATGGAGGCAATGAATTTAGTTATAGAGAAGTTTACTTCATGAATGACGTTGATGAATATGTAGCTGAAGATAATATAGACGATGTATTGAATAAAGCAGATGAAGAAATAAATAACAACATAGAAGAAGACAAAGATAAAGATAGTATAATAGGAATACAAGCATTTCATTTTAGATTAATATGTATTGAAGATATTTACTACTAACATACTTCTAATACTATTAATTTTATGGATTTGCAAGATCGGATTATTAAAGGTTAAGGGTTGATCTTTATTGTTGTCTGCCGGTTTGTCTTATATATTGTTCTTTGCTTGGTGTGTTTTTTCTTTTTTGGTTGTTATAGGAATTCTTGGAAAAGACTTTTAAGAAGATAATCATATGTATATGTATTGGATAAATTGTGTAGATACTGTGTTAAAAATTTACCAATTGATAATTTTGAATATGGATTGAAGACTTGTAAGACATGCTTGGAATACAAGGGAAAGAACTATGAAAAACATAAAGATGAAGTGAATGAAACACGAAGAACTAAATATAAGGAACATGAAGAATATAGAAAAAATAAACAGGAACAAATACAAAACTATCGTGATAAAGTTGCCTTTTGTAATGTATGTAATTCATCAACGAAGGCGCAATGCTATTGAAGACATTTAAAAACAGAGAAGCATAGAAGGAATTTAGGAACGGTTGATGGATAGGATTTTGTAAAATGAATAAGGTAATAATGCGTTTGACTGCTATGATTTTGAAAAATGAATGAGGTAAGTATGCTGTGAATGCTATGATTTTGAAAAATTGAATAAGGTAATTGTGTTTTGACTGCTATGATTTTGAAAAATGAATGAGGTAAGTATGCGTTGACTGCTATGATTTTGAAAATTTGAATGAGGTAATTATGTTTTGATAGTGTTAAGAAAAATGAAGCAATCAACAATATTTAATCTGACTTTTTGGACTGTTATGTTGTTTTTGAATAAATTTGATTTGTTACACTGCTATGATATTAGTTTAGAAACTTCACTCAATCAACTTTTTTTACATCTTTTCACCATACTAGGTGGGTGTAGACTAGAATAGGGAGACCCCCGAGTCCTCATGAGTCCTCTCGCCCCTGGCTGGATTAGACTAGAGGTAGACTGGGCCAGACTGGTCCATGTCCACAACGCTGAGATTTGCCTATACTTGAAGATACACGCCCCATGTCTGCTTTGCACCGCATACAAGTGTGGCAGAACCTCTGCATACTCATACTCGACGTGCCTTCTCGACGTGCCATTCTGCGCGACTCAGGTCAAAGAGACGCGCATTCACCTGGCGCCGACGCCAAGCAGACATCTCAGACGGGCCCGGGTTGAGATTGGTGAAAACCAGTTGATGCCCCAACCCGAACATAGTTCATTGACTCGGACTGTGAGTCTGTTCCAGCACAGAGGCGTTCTGTTCAGTGAGTCTCCGTTTCACGGTCTTTACAGTCATACCAAGCACGTCCCGGACGTGCTCCCAGCCAAGCGGCATTGTCGCGCCAATGGTCCAGCGGATGAAAGTCCGGGAAGGCAGCACCTGACGGCAGAACAGGTGTCTTTGAGTTTAACTGGCATCTGCCTCGCTGCCTCTCGTACAGATCTTCTACTAAGGATTTAACCTTTGGGGGGGGTTCTAGCTAAATCCAAATCCCTGATGAACCAAAAAAAAACTCTTGGACTCTATAAGAGTACACCAAAAGGAAGGTTTTTCGTGCCGGATGCCAAGTCGCTGCCAGAGCATGTATATCTGGTCAGAAAAGCGCTCACGGAACTGATGGGAAAATTATAACCCAGACACTTCATGGGACTGCCATAGGACTGCCGATAAGTCCAGGGGTGGTTGAAAAGGGGTCTGGCTTGATCGGCAGTCCGGACTGGCAGTCCCCGACGGGTCGTGTCTGGGTCAGACATCGATCCGCAGCCACGATGCGGCCAGGAGCTACCCGGTTCGAACGACTGGCGACATGAACCTTCCGGTGAACACATGAGCCGCTGAGGAACCTGAAACCCCTCTCAGCCCCGTTCGTAGCTTCTTGTTCCTATAGTAGTAAGGCCAGGAGCCCCGTTCGTAGCGGCGCTGAGGACCCTGCGCAGCAAGGGCTGCACACCACCTGAAGAGCTGCCTGACGGCACGGCGCACGGGGGGCGGGCCAGCCGGCGAGCGGCTGGTCTCGAAGCCAATTCATCGGGCCAAAACGGTCTGTCGTTCTTGCAAGACCCAACAAGAAGATGTTGGCCGTTGAGTCCATTACAGTTACTGTATTTCTCTTGGAGACGAATTGTTGGCGCAAACCACTCTCGACGGACCTCTTCCCCAACGGACAGCCCTCCGCAGCCGGTCCCCCCCTCCGTAGATGTCCCATAGGATCCCCCGCCACCGACACAGACGCGCGTCGCGTGTCGCGTCGCCATCACACACGAACCGGGCCACCGGACGCACCTGAGGAGCTAAGTCCACCAAGCGCTGAAAGGTGGCCTGCTTTGGGATCAAACCGAAGCGGCGTGCTTTGGTCGGTCCGACCGCGGTGCGGGAACGGTGCCCAAGCCCGTGCGGTGGTTTTGGGGTCTGGAATGGATCCCAAAAGAGTCCTGGAAAGGCAAGAAATAGTTTCTGTTGGACCCGCTGTCATGGCTAGAAGTTCATGTCGAAACCGTGCTACTCTCCGTGCCGCTTTCTAGTTGGGGATCACGAGTTCTCCCAAGTTACCCCTCCAGAGTTCGCCCACCGCAATACTCACTTTGGGAGGGAAAAAGAGGGCCCATGTGGGCGAAAGATCTGCTTGACGTAGCGCCACATGTTCTCTGATTGACGTACGCATCTGCGTCCGACACGATGCCTGTCCATCTTCGTTCTCCGGGTCCGACTTGACCCAAAAGCGTGTCGTGGACACTGTGTGACACTCCCCATGCCAACTGCGCACGACGTATCGCATCGAACGCATCGAACGCTGTCCACCATGACCACCCTGTCAACGGTTTGAGACGAAGCGCATTCCGCCTAACGCCTTCACCACCACGCCCAAACGAACGCCCGCGCCGGGAGCGTGAGCGAAAGCGATCCAGCGACCGTTTCACGGTCGAAGGTCTAGTCGTTCGGCTCGGAAGCTCGGACCTGGTCCGAGAGCGACAGGACATGGAGACCGACAGGAGGTCCCACTTAATCGATCAGTCTGTCCAGTGTTCGGTTTGTCCGTCCTTGAGTCTTTCTACTTGGACTTCATCGATCAGTCGCCAGCTGTTCTCTCACCAGTCACCGCCTCGTTGGGTTCCAAGACCATGAGCCCCGCATTGAACTCCTCGGAATGAAGCCCGTCTTCGCCCTGGCGTTCATCGCAGGATCGCTTAGCTCAAGCCGTAGTTAGTTTTTGCACCCGGACAAATGTGCACCCGGGACATCCTTCAGAAGTTGGGCATTTGAGGACCTCTAGATCCCTCCTCAAACTCCTGAGTCGACTTGATACTTTCTGGACACGCGTTCCATGGATGGAATATACATGTGCCGGTGGCCGGGAATTGTCGTCGTTTTGGTCTTTTCGCTTGTTCTTCCAGGTTCGAAACATGGACTGTGGATTCCACCAGCCCGACCACATCGGAATCCACCGCTCCCGCCTGCGCGCCGAGGTCCCGAGCCTCGTGACCGAGCCGCGTGGGTGAACGAACGACGGACTGTCGCGGACGGCACAAGCGTCCGTACCTTCGGTCAGGGACGAACTCAAGAACGTGTCTAATATGAGTCATATGTGTAGGAAGCGCCCAAAAGGTTGTAGTCATGGAACACTGTCATTTCCGTATGAGACACTCTGGTTTGAACACCAAAAAGTAGAACGACACACCGAATGTGAGACACGGATCCTGAGACAGATGGGATCCTTGGGATCCTTCGGATCAGGCGTTCAAGGACCGTACGCCGTGGAGACGTGGTGTTCAGCGCCGAGCTGGACTTCCCCCCTTTGCTCCGAGGCAGCTCCGAGGCATGATTTTACACCCCTCTCAAGACAGCACACGGGAGATTCTTATTTTTGGACAAAGTCTCTGGAGAAGAAGAAGAAGAAAGAAAGAACACCAGAAGAAAACCAGCCAAGAAACCCTTCGCACACATACATATTGCGACCTCATTCGTCACACATCTTCGTCACACATTCTTCCACCCGTGATGGGGCCATTCCGGGACACACCACCACTCCGTCTCCGTCTCCGTCGCTGGGCCTCCGAACGGCGGACAGCTCCGGTCGCTGGCACAAGTGGTCGCTGTTCTGCGTCACGATCTGCGGGTGCCAGATGGGACCGGACGGCGGCGAGTGGTGTGAAGCGGCGTGGCGACTGCGGTGGATGTGTTTCCTTTCATGGAAAAGTGCGCAGAGGGTGGAAGATGTTGGGAGAGAAGTGGAACATCACCCCCCCAAAAGGACCTCTATATAGAAGTCTTGGGACAGAAGGGTCAATTCGGAGTAAATCTCTATTTAGGGATTTAAGACGCCAAGAAAGCTTGACAGCTGAGGTGCCCTGCCATGTCGCTGTCCATGTACACCTCGAGATCAGCTTTGAACGCAGGCTTTCAAGTGATCATTGTGCCATACCTGGAACCCCAGTCCCAACCAGAAACAGTTCTGGTTGTTCCGAAGCTTGGCGCGCCAGCTGGAAATCCTTTGGACTGGGGAGTTCCATCCAGAACTCTTTCTGGTTGGGACTGGGGAAATCCAGGTAGATACCACCCACTCTCCCCCCTCAAAAGCCACCCGCCCGGCACACCCCCTCCCCAAAGAAACGGTCCAATCTCTTCTTCATGGTTAGGTTTGAGCTCAAAGCCCAAATCGACATTGCTTGACGGATGTCACTCCCCTTCAACTCGATGTCTACAAAAGCAATCCATCCTTTCTGTGGTCCCCAAATCGCATCCAAACCCCCCAAAAGCCTCACAGGAGCTGCCAACCCGGCGTGTCCGCGGCGTGTCTCCCAGTCTTCCGGCCGAGGAGCTGCTTTCTGAAAGTCCTTCCCAGTGAGACTTCCCAGTTGCCATACCTCTGCCGCTCCGAAGGTTCACCGCCACTGGTCGTCGTGGGCACGTGGATCGGTGCCCGTCCATGTCAGGGGGGGAAAAACTGGTGATCCGGGGCGGAGAGCCGGGGAAAGAAGGTGTCAACGGAGTCTGCCAAGTTCAACAACTGCGCGACGAGTGTTCCAAGTGTGGAAGGCATCGTCCCACTCCTTTGACCCTCCGATTCACAATTCTAGGGATCAATTGATCTTAGGATGTCTTCCGTCAACAGTTCTTTCAACCCTCCATCAATCAAGTCTGCTAGCAGACCGGTTCTCTTGTTCAGTCGGCAAAGCTTTTTGCTTGAAAGACTCGTGCTTCGTAGTAGAAGTTTGGCCCCCCGCCCACAGAGATTGGATCCAGCCACCCTGCCCGAACTCGCGCCACACCAGTCTTCAGTCCATTTGTCTGGGATTTCTCGGTTTTCCAGCAGAGGTTGAAGAACCCGAACTAGGCTATCCTATAGGTACTCCCAGTAGGGTCCTATTTACGGTCACTTAACCTCTGTTGGTTCAGCTCGTATTGGTGCATGTCCCCCAAAAAGCCTCGCCTCCCGTGAACTCGGCGCCCGGGTGTCTCGGCGCTGCAAAGTGTCTCGCCACTAGACTCGAGGGTGTCTCGTAGAGACTCTAGTCGAAGCTCAAAACCGAGGACATTCGGACCAGAAGGGTCCCACTGTCGAAGTCAAAGACACCAACCAGCACCTTCACCTGGCTGGAACCCCCTACACCACTAAGGGACCTCCAGCCAGGACACCCCGAAAGGTCCAGGAAGACTGGACCAGCCTTTGGCGCCACAGCCTCCCCATCGTCACCCCCCCAGACCGTCACACCATCCGGATGCGTGTTCGAGCGAGGCCACGCGTGCTGGGGCCACCGGCCCTCAAAATGGCATAATTCTTGGCAAAGGCCTGGTATTGCCTCACCGCTGGAACAGCGCTTGTTCACAGCGCTGGTCAACAGCCAGATGTCTTTTTGAGCAGCCGGAAAGCAGTGAAACGTGCAGGTCAGCTCAGCTTGGGGCTGTGCCAAAAATCAGATCAGTATGATCAACAAAAAAACATGGGTGGCCGGCAAATGACAGCAGGAAGGGTCAGGAGGGACGTTTTAAAAGTGTGCGCGGGCCGGGTAGCTTGCGGAGTCCCTGCATGTGTTTCAGAAGCATGGCTGACATGGGTTTCAGTATGTTTCAGTGATTGTACTCTTTTGGGTGGTTGACATGTTGATCCGTCTTTCTTGATTTTGGCACCGGAAAGGACTAACATAGTCCTCTAAAGAGAGCACGGAGTGTGCCACTGCACGCCCCATGAAAAGCAACATTCTCAGTCGCCCCGGAGCAGGTCCCAAAGTTACATTGAATTCCCCCGGACAAGACCGGAGAAGGTTTGGATATGATACCCTACAAGTCAAAGACCTCATTTTCCTGGAGATCGTCATACAAAACCGATACATATGGAGGTAAAAGACCAGGTTTTACTGGGTCTTTGGACTTGTAAGCATATGTTAGTTTAGGGGTCCTCAGTGCTGCCAGGACTTCTTTGTTGGAAGAGTGTAGCCGACGACATTTACACACGCTCGCAGAAGCAGAAGGAAGTTTAAGGAAGTGAAAGCAAAGCCTCTACAAGCTCCAAAACTTGCCTCAATTTGCTCCTCCAGAGACTACATCTCTGCCACCCTGGCCTGGACCCTGGTCTTTTTTCGGAGCTCTGAACACCAGCGTTTTTCATGATCGAGCTCCAAACACCACGGCATTGGGGTTCTCAATCTCCTCTCCGCAACCCGCCACCCGCGACCCGATCGCGAAAGGACGGCATGCGTGGGGAGGAGGGTGGGACTGCATGTGGCAGGTCCGGTTTCGGAGCAACGAAGGGTGTGATCAAAGAGAAAAATAGCACACAGGCTCCCAGCGCAAAACAACCCTCCTTACAGTCAAAACAGAGTCAAACAGAGTCTTAGATATCAGAAAGATGCTTCTGCTCTCTGGACACTTCAAAAGATTTAAAAAAAAAAAAAAACTAGAGACCCACATATCAAAAAAGAATCTAACAAAGGCCACAACCGGTCGACCAGATATCAGAAGTAAAAAGGATAGAGACCGCTCGGGAACCTCTGTCGGTCGGTCAAAGCCTCTCAGAACGCGGGGAAAGACAGCGAGTCCGGCGGCGGGCGTCGAGCGAGTCCGGCGCCCGTTCTCCTGGGTGGTGACGACTTGATCAGCACCGGCCTGTCGAGTGACGAGCGGCTGGAGGTGGAGAGGAGGGTGAGAGGAGTCACCCGATGGTTCGTGGGGATGAAAAAGAGGGGTGCTTTGGGTCCTCACTACACGAGGACCCAAGCGGAGAGTACTTCCTTTTCGAAGAGCAAAATGGTCTTTTTCGTTTGGGCCTGTGCCATCCGCTTCCATGTTACTGTAGTGAGTCAGTGTGTAGATCATATCCTATGATGCTTGGTAAAGACCTTTCTCCAAAGTAGTGATACACTACCTATAGGAATAATCATTGAAGATTCCATCTGCCAAATCGAGGGCAACTGCACTCCCTGAGATATTCATCGTCACATGGAGTTCACCACCTGTTCGGTATTCGGATTTCATCGTCTTCCAACTGGCCATGCATGGTCATGCCATCCATTTAACCATCGATGATTTCAGGGAGTCAGAGCATTTTGGACCGACTGTCACTGGTTTTGTGGGACACATGGGTGATTGATGTCGTCCCACAGGTTTGAGGATGTCCGGATACACAGCTCTGAGAATGTCCGGGAAGATCTGCAGATCTTAACCCATGGTGGGTCTTCCACCCCAAGGCAATGGCGGTTTTCCTGCAAATTGGGTGGTCATTCTCCCAAAATCAGGTCCACCCAGTGTAGAGAGTAGAAGGGGAACAAACCATGATGGGCCTATATCCATTGGTTTCATGGAAGGCGTTTGCTCTCTAAGACCTTGTTTCAAAAGAAGTTGTCAGAAGCCACTTGGATTGAGATGTTTGCTGAGATGCTTAGACTCCCTGAATTCATCATGGTTACGTGGATGGCATGGCCCCTTGGATGACCATGAAATCCTAATATCAAACAGGTGGTGAACTCCACTTCCCATGATCATCCTAAGGCAGGTATATGATTAGGTAGGTATGCTGTGCCGCCCCCCTCATGCCGACGCTGCGGCGCCATACTTGTACCGTTCGTGACTCGCCATGAGAAGAACAGCCATATGGGTGTGTATTTCACTAGGTGTCACCTCCCAAGCAATGGGTAGACTGGTCGATTTCCCTTCTCCCAGGGGGTCATTGGGAGGGAGTTATTAAAGTACACCGAACCCGATGCGACCACAGGTGCCATGCCGTCACTCTCACAGGAACCCGAGTCCCGTTCCAGGAGTGTTCTTTTTCTCCAATAACATCTGGAGGAAACCGGTAGAAAAACAAACCAAGCTCGTGTGGGCTCGGTTTCGGGGTTTCCTTGTAGATGTTGTCCGAAAATATATATATATATATATCAAACCAAGCCATTCTGTTGAAAAGCTGGAGTCCAATCCACCAAAACTCTTCCAGGTCAGAAATCCACCAGGTAACCAAACCACCCATCGACGTCGGAGCTCGGGGCCTGCAAAAGTCGTGCCCTGGCGTCCGGGGAAATCTCCGGCAGAACTAGCACCGTCACCTGGCGGCACCCGGTGGCGTATGTGGCACCCCCCATGGCGCACGGGGGAACGGACCAAAAGAATTGCTCCTCCAGCTGCTGAGTCACCCTGACTCACCCAAAATATCTAAAATGTATTCTAGAGCCCAGACACGGACACGTGTGTTTGGGGGAAGTGAACGACCCTCTTTCGGGGGTGGTTGGTGGTCCAAGATCCGTTGAGGTCACGAAACCAACCAGGCTCCATCGGTACTTCGGCCATGCTGGGACGGATCCATCGAGCCATCGGGGAAAACAAACAAAAACATCCTCCTGTGCTCGGCAGGCTCGGCAGGCTCGGGGGATCCTGACGTGCAGATCGGGAGATCGGGGGATGAGAACATCCCCAGCCTGAGTTGCGATCGGCGGCCAGAACGCAACTAGCACTGACCACTTACAACAAGGAAACCACCCGGCTGGAAAAGGAACTATCAAGAGAACGAAGCAAGAATGATCTCTTCTCTTCTCCTCCCGATGCATGTCCTGCGGCTCCTGCTCCTTGCATCGGCCCTGAAGAACATGGAAGTCCCATCTAAGCGCCTCATCCACTTCACCGCACATCGCCCACCATCCTTCACCCCTGCTTTTGACGGTCACAGCACCGCAAAACCAGGGTCCGAGCCCATCGACCACCTACCAGGACCAGGGTCAACTCACCGGGTTCAACCAGACCACCAAGGTCAAGCAACTCACGGCGTGTGGCCTTGGTGTCATTCCCCTTAGTAAAACAGTGGGTCGTTCGGGAATTCCGGCTGTTCGACATGGAAATTCGACTCCTTTAACAAGCGGAAAGGCAAAAAGAGACCAAACTACATGGGAGGTCAACCAGCCAGGGCTTTGAAGACGCTCCAAAAACTGCGCAACCATCCGCACAAAAACGCGTGCCCTCTGGGGCGGGTATGTCAAGCCAAAAACACATGTGACGATGTTCTTCTGCAAGAATATCGGATTGGATAGTTGTTCAGCTCCAGGTTTGCTGACCCAGATCCCTACGATCCATCTAACTGAAGCTCCAGCTCCAGGTTAGACGAAGTGAGTCTCCTCACCGTCCGCGTCTTCTCCCCGCCTCGTGCGCCGTCGCGCCGCGCCGCAGCGAGCGCAGCCACGCCACAGAGCAGTGCAGGAAGTCCTCGGACCTGGAGGGCGGCGGCTGAGGTCTGGGGAGGTGGGAGGGGTGGAAAGAAAGGAAAGACTGGAAACCCATCGTTTCCCTAAAGAAAAACCATCCATAGGAAGTGGAAGGCTGGTGTCCTGCGGAGTCTTTTGTGTTCGAGTTGGAAGTAATTACTGGGAATTTCTGGAAGAGTG